TCCCTTAAAAATCTTGTTTTATATTCCTCTATTTGTTGTTGCGGAATTAATGAACTAAAGATCCTTCCCCAGGAGAACCTATTATTATGCATGAAGGGTGAGAGGACCAGATGATACTGAGGAAATGGTGCTTTCTGGAACTATCTTCCACTGTTCTCCCTGGAGATTTTATGAAGCTTTAAAGAGCAAACTGACTTTTAGGATAATTTTATAACTTCTGGAGCATTATTTGAATCTATTTACATGGCATTAAAATGCTCAAGTGATTTTCATTGAATTGCTTCTTCCTTTATTGTATGACTTATGATCGCATTGCCTCATCTTTGGCATTCTTTACTTGAATCTTTGCAGTGTTACTGATGTACTTTTCCATTATGTAAACATTATAACCCTTGAGTACAATCACATCCCTGACACAGAGTCTACAGGAGACATTGTTTTACAGCAGTGACACGACACCCACAGGAAATGCTGATCGATGGAACTATCTGGCCAGCTGTTCAAACAAAGGCTGGAGCTTACTCTCACAACTTTATTTCATTTTGTTGTCAATTGTCTTGAAAATGATCTCATGACAGCCCACTAGCCAATATCTGTGGCAATAAATATGAGCAAATTTGATTGCTTTCAAGTGGTCTATGCATTTATATTTACATTTAGTTAAAATTGTAATGCAAATCCTAATTTATAGTCTTCATGCCTACAAGAGGAACAAGAGTGAATTTTTTTCATTTTGATAATGCAGAAATAACACAGAAGGGGGAAAAGAATCTGAAAATACATTTTCAGACATCTATTATTTTCTGGTTTATGTTGGCATTTGGCATATATCATACTTAATATTTCTGAAGCTACAGTAGTCCTGGGGAACTATTAACAGTCTGATTGGAAAAAAGGAAAAGTTGAGATTCAGAGACATTAAATAGCCTGTGCTGATGACAGTCGTGCAGTGGAAAAAGAGTAATTTGAATAAAATTTTTCCCACTAAAGTCAATTCAGATTCTGCAGGACCACTCCACTGTCAGAAGGTCAGCAGAGGACCATGAGGGCTGTTTCCATAAGCACAGTATGCAAGTTGCTGGAATTTACTTCTGATTAAGGGACTCAGAATTTTAAATTTCTTCAGTATATTTTTACGCATTAGCCACCATCTGCCCTCCATGGTAACCATTTGTTAAAGCTCATCATCACCAAATGTTGCTGATGAAAGAAAGTCTCTATCACTTATCTGTGGACATTTTAATATTAGCAACAAAATCTTGATGCCTTCTTTTTGGACATTGTGAGGATCTCTTTGTACTCACAGAACACAGCTTCTGTCCTTGAGGTCAGTTTATGTTTACATAAAACTCTTTCCTGTCCAGATTAACAAGTTCTAATGCTTGGAATATCTTTCTTCTTTTTCCTCAGAAAAGCGGTGTCTATAGTCTCAGGCTTTGAATTTGGAATTAGAAAAACCACTTGTTTGTAACAGTCAATGTTGACTTAGAAACTCATTCATAAAGCACATGTTGGTATCTTATTTAAAATCAGCATTATTTTTAAAATGAGTTGACTGAACATGGGTACTGCAAACAGCAAATGAAAGCCATCCAGAGATACACCTCAATTTAGGAAATCATAATACATTTACATAATACATAATTACATAATACAAATTACATAATTACATAATGCAAATCTCTAGCCATTCAAAAGAATCCATAGCAGAAAGAGAAAAGATGATTTTCCATGTCAAAGCACATGCATGAAAGTCCATGGAGTATATTTCAGTAAATCAGAGTATTTAAAATACATTCATTGTTTTTCTAGTACTAAGGAGTATTTCCTTCTGGGTTTGCCTCCTCATTTCTATCTGTTGTTTTCTCCATTTACTCTTTTCCACTCTACCCCTTCTCTGCTGGAAGCAGCAATGTTAAGTTTATACTTTATGTCACTAGGAAAGTTGATTCATGTCCCCTCTGTGACCCTTGTCTGTGTTGAAGGCACACCATTACCTTCCAGGCAGAGGACAATTTAACTCTATTAAGAGTTATCGTACTAATGCTAGCAATTCTTAGTCCCTGAGAAATCCTGTTCCTCTTCACATCCCTTATATTCTCCTACTGGCAAATTAGAATTGTCTCTCCATGGAAAACAGGGGATTTAATTTTTTTGGAAAAATAATCGTCAGTAATTGTGAGCTGCTCTATAATGGAGTTAAATGCATTCAACACTTTGCACACTATTACACTAGTCCAGAATATGAGGGAATTCTGTTATCAGCAGTGTTTTCATGACTACATGGGAAGATGTCTGCATGTCAAGCCTGGGGAGAGAGATATCTAAACTCAGATTATTTAGGTACCATTAGTCGATGTTGTATACGTTCCAAGAGTACATCTTCTTGCAACACCCTTCACCACCCATCACCAACCAATCAGCCTTTTTTACCAATTTCCAACAGACTCCTCCTTCTCTGGTAACCACCATCCTATTGTCAGAACCTAAGGTTCTTTTGCTCTTTGTTTTATAGTCTACAAAAGGTGAAATCATTCAGTGTTTCCTTCTCTTTCTGATCTAATTCACTTAGCATGATCCCTTGCAGTTCAATTCATGTTGTCTTAAAATGGTAAATGTCCATCTTTTCACGGCTGAGTAGAAGTCCATTGTGAATTTATATTGTACACCATCTTTATTCCTCTTCCACTGGCTACTTGGGTTGCTTTCCTACCTTGGTTACTGTGAATAGTGCTGCAATGAACATAAGGGTGCGTATGTGTTTTTATGACGTAGTGTTTTCATATTCTTCAGATAAATATCCAGAAGTGGGATCATACAGTAGTAATGAGAATGAGAATTATTTTTTTAAAGTTTGGATTCGATATATACATATTTACATGCCAAAATAAAAAATATCTCTGTGCACATTAACATTATGTGTTATCACTTACCAGTTCATTTTCTACGAAAGTCTGGGTATGCAAGTTTCCTGTAAAGGATATATGGATTCCAGTTGACTATTACATAGGAAATTAATTCCTCCTTCCATGTCTCTATCTCGAACATTCTGTATTTAATACAATAGAAATATTATTTATTCATGTTTAGGGGGTTATTTTAAGTTTATATTCAAGTAGGAAACATTCATGTGGATTTCAAGGAGTTCTAGAAACATCTTCAGAGTGAAATGTTAGTTAAGGTGCTGGGTCCTTTAGAAAAGAATACTGTCGCTGCCTGGATCTTAGTAGGATTGTCTCGATTTTCTCCTCCTCACTGCATCTTACCCGCTTCTCATTACAGGATCATAAGATCTCATTCCCCATTAGTGGGGGGAAATAGGACGACATTTTTCCTTTTGCAAAATTCACCTCATTGAACTAAGTCCTAAGCACACAAATTTGAATTGTCTTTTAAGATGGGAAAGTTTTAGTCTGGGTATAAAATATTAGAGAATAAGCAAATGTTTTACTGCTTTATTCATGTTATAATGCAAATGTATTTTTTAAAAGATTTGTTTAGTTATGCATACAAGAGCTGGGGTTTAGGCCAGAGATGGGGGTGGGTGGGTGAGCAGATTCACCAAAGACAGAGTAGGGAACAGAACAGGCAGATTGACCGAAATACACTGCCGAGGGGAGCAGCGGGGAGACAGTAGAGGTCTGCTGTGACATATGATTTGCTCCCTGGCCCGCTGGGGATCGAACTCATGCTGCAGAGGCTGTGAATTGCTTCATAGTGCGGTGCTTCACCCCTTGCGCCACCAAAGAGGCCCAAGAAATATATTTTAATGTTAAGTTAAATGGGTTTTATTAAATTACCACAGAGACACATAAATGCAAGTTGGTATTTTCTTGAAACTTAGTATATTTCTTAATTTATTTTTAATGGAGGTAATATTTGATGTCCTCATGAGGCATTGCCACCATTGTTCTACAAAGGATGAATATATCACCCCCAGTCCACCACCATAGTCCAATTTATTGGAATTTTTAAAGTCCAAAGAAGTGATTATTTTCATAAAATTGTTTTACATACAAAATCATTCACATTCACATGAAAGCAATGGTGACAAGAAGCATTTGTATCATCAGATCTTATATTTGCAAACACAATTAGATACAGACGATGGAAAAAATATCTTTTAGATCTTATAAAACATTCACACTTTCCTGTGGTAACCAGACAAAGCATAACATTTCTTTAAACTGAATTTTCAATAATATTTTTATGTAGTACTTTCTTGGCATATGATTAACTTTATAGGAATTTTTAATATATTATAAAACAGACTGTATCAAGCTATTCTGCCAGTGAAAATGTTACTTGAAATGAGTAAGAATGTGGATTTGAAATTCATCTTATACTTTCTCATTCTACAAATTGTACTGTAGCTTTTTTCATATTGAATTTTCTGTGCCTGTGGTGTTATGTGTATGAGCGTATAAAAATAGCATTTTTGCAGAAATATTATGGTAATTCAAGTTTTCCAAAAGGGTATAATTTGACACCAACTAGCATATCACTTTATGGATTTTAATAGAATTGTACCTGTTTTCATATATTCATCCTCTATGGAACTCTCTAAATTTATTTTTAAATTTCATAAGATGTAGGATCTCTATAAACACCTTACTGCAGATATTATTTTTTTGCATTGAGTATATGTCTTATAAAATAAGCATTTCTTTCACTAGATGCTTTTGCTAATGTATTCTGGAAAATTAGTTCTTGCTTTTTCAAAGAGCAGCCAAATTGGTATTTAGAAATGTCATCCTAAGAATCGCAATATTTTCTAATATATTCTAGGATGAATTCCATCGTTTGACTTGTTTTACTTTATTTTCTTTAATTATCCCAAGGCAATATGTTTCCTTAGGTTTGTGGTATAGTTTTGAAAATCAAATAAAGCTCTGCTCCATTTACTCTCCAGAGTCTTCTTGGATGCAGCTTAAACTCTACCTGGCAACTTAGAAATCTGTATTTGATCTGTTTCTCCTTATTTTCCCTTCAATGCTCTACCTCCAAGTACTCTAGCAGTGAATGCCCTTGAATAACATCTCAGCACAACCTCCATTCTTTATTTCCATTTCCAGACAAATCATGCTTTACAGTGTCAGTGATAGGATCCTTTATTCTCCAAACATTTTATTTACTATGTACCATCATCTTCACATTACTGCCCATGTTCAGAAACTGATTGAATTTCTGATTTATTATTTGAGCCATTCTTTAGTCAGTTTCATCATTCGTCCAGTTAATATTCCAGGATTTACATTGATCACTTATGTTGAGGTCCTCATCCAGGCTTTGTATGTTCACTATTAAATCCAACCAAGCTCTTAGTCACCTTCCTAGAATTTAAAGTCAAGCAAATTGGGAAATATTTGACCTTTTCCTTATGATTATTTTTGATATCACCTAAATTCCATTTCCCCTCAGGTATCCAATTCCCAATACAGTGGCAGCCTCTTGCCTTGGTTCCAACGAGTCCTACACACTGACCTGTAATCAAAGACCCTGGATGATTCCCTACTTCCTACTGCACCAAAGAGTCTATTCTTCCTATTAATTAGTTGTTGCACTGATTTGTCTATTCTTGTGTGTATGTATTTGTTACAGTTTAAGTACATGTATCAGGCAATACACTGTATCAGCATGGGGGTGGAGACTGTCTTAATCTGAGCTCAGAGTCTAGCTGTGGGAAAGGATTTCTAAAATCCAAGGTCCCAGTCTAGAGATTGGCCATGATAGGAAGATCTGGAGAGAGTGATATGATTAAAACACGTTTCCAGAGAGCTGTTAGGCGGCAGGCACTACAGGGTGAATGAGTTTGTGTAGGGGAGGGGGTAAAAGTCTTAATCTCATGTTACATTTATTAACCAAACATGAAGTCAAACATTAACACATTTTTGTGCTAAGAAATTCAAATTATAAAGTTCTGTTCTCATTTTCAGAAGCAATTGACCTCAATTTTGAGTTTGTTCTGCCTCTTTTCAGATCCTTTCTGTATGTGAATAAAAATGTGAGTTGAATCTCATTGTTTACTTGGGTTTCTCTGACTAGTAAATTTGGGTTTTCACAGATTTGTGTTAACCTTTATTATATCCCTCCTTAGAGGGCTGGCTTTTTGCTTGGACATACAATGCGGTGTTGGCCCATACTGGAAAGAGAAGTCCAGCAAAGATGAATAATGTGTTCTAGATGGGATCTTCGTGGGTTGGCTATATGTGTCTCAAAGTTCTTCCTTATTGCAAGCATGCGTGGTAACTCCAAAAATTTTCAGGTATTGCTGACTGCTTTCAGGTATTGATGACAACTTTCTTCAAATAAGTTGTCATAGAAACAGCAAATCTGATATTGGCAGAGCTTTCAGAACAAGAAAAAATGTCTGTCTTTGGCTCATTCCTGGAAAAATTCTATGTCTGTTGCCTTACACATGTTTCTTCATCTTCAGAATCACTGACTACATAATATAGTTTGTACAGAATTAAAATGGCCCCTCATGCTCCAGGAGCTGTGACCTAGAATAATGGTGTGTTTTATCAGGGATATTGTGATGCGGTTGCTGACATCATTTGAGTACATGGCTCTGTTGTCCAGAGACACATGAGCTTCATGCAAATTCTAAGTAATCTCAAACTGAACTTTTCAGATCCCAGCGCTACCAGCACACTCACAGCACCCAGGAAATAAATACCTTTCATTACATTTTGGGAAGTGAGATCATTAACAGGCATCTGTGGGAGAGGAAACTGGCTCTAATCCACTCAGGAAAAAGATGCTGAGATGTGCCTATTCAAAGGATTTTTTGATACCTTTCTACACTTACTAGGTTAGTCAAAATTACAAGTCTAACAGAGCAGGTATGATGAGAATGTAGAGAAATGGGGACTACTTGATTTGGATAGTGAGCTGGTCCCACCTAGTAAAGTCACATTAAGTGTCTGTGTCACCATTTAACCAGTTGAGGTAGCGTGGAAACCTCCCACTGTCCCTGTTCTGTCCTCACTTCTAATAGAACTACCTTAGAGATGTCCTCTCCTCTGGAGGACGGCATCAGGCAGTGTCAAATTTGGTCTGAAGAGCAAACGTTTCAAGATGTGATGGTCCCTTGACCGGCTCCACCACCTGCCCTGTTCCCCAGAGAGCATCTGTCTGCACCCCTCTGCTGGGGGCCACTGCTACCTGTCACTGGGGTGCAGTGGAAGACGCCTTGATGTGAAGATTGAACCCCAGTCTTAGGCAGACACTGTGAGCTTGCGATCAGGGAGGTGGCTCTTGCTGGTATTCTTGCCCTTTCTCCAGAAACAAATGCTGCATCTCGATGGATTCCGTATTTCCCGCACAAGTAGAGGTCACTTTTAATCTGTATTTTTTTCTGATTTGCCTGTCAGCTGCCATTAGTTCTATTAAGTGAATTCTTCTATTTCATTCATAACTGTCCAAGGTCTAATAACTGAGCCAAAATATAAATGGTGTATTCATCACCAGGACATGCCCAGTGTGACAATTTGTGCCACCAAATTAACTACTCTCGGTTTTATTTCGCGGGTTCTTTTTTCTTCCAACACACAGGCTAAAAAAAAAGCAACAAACTATTAGTATTTTCAAAATCATTTTTTCTTTTGCTGCCCTAGCATTTTGAATTATAAGACTCTATTTTGCTGGATGATCTTTCCGTTTTTATCTGTGAAAAGTGTATAATCATCAAAAAACTAGAGTCCACACTCACAATGGCTATGAAGCTATTGACTTGACCAAAAGCGAACATATTTTGTAACTTACATATACGTACGCTATTTATTCTGGTAAAAGCATATTATAGAGCCTTGAAATAAAATTTTATTACTTTTCAGCAAATCTTACATCATGTAAATCCATCAGCTGGGTCTATTTGCCTTATTGAATTTGAGAATGGGAAATTTAGGCTCCTTTTAAGCTGTCAGAGAGAGAAGGTTTCATAAAATATATTAGCAAATGAGAAATACTTAGCATATTTATTGCTATGGTAATCTTGGACTGACTGTATTTCAATTGTAAACAGATACAAAATTGTAGTAAATCTCTAAAGAGCACTTATTTCTTTATCTTTCAAGTTCTTTGGATGTGACTTTTTGTCTCCCGGAACAATAGAGCTAGAAGCTTATTTTTAGATGAAATAAATCAAAATGTAAAGAACAGGAACTTCTGTAAATTAGAAGTGGCATAAATATTCATGATTTTTTTAATCATACATAATTCTTCCTTTTAAAGTATTTGTATATACCTTGTTAGGAAAACAATGGTGCTTCGGACTCATGCCAGGTTGGGGAGATAATATGTTTATCTACTCTTACTTTAAATCTCCAAAAATGTGTATGTAAGGACTGCCTTATTCCAATTATATGTTTTTCTGCCTGGATTCTAATTCCACTTTTCTCACATACTTGCAGTGTGGCTTTGGGAACATTTAACTTGATTTTACCTCAGTTTCTTCATTTGTAAAATGGTGACATGATAGTGTCAAGATTGCTTGGAAAATTATATCACGTTTGTTAATAACATAGAACAGCCTCAGTGCATTAAGGAGGGAATTAAGATATTGTTATTTTCTGAAAGCAGTATCTTTTTTGAATAAAGTTGTAGTCAGAATCATTTAATAAGTTAAGCATACATAGACTCTGTAAAGATTTTGGTGGTAGCTAATTTGTGGTAATGCTTGCATCCTAAATTATAGCTGCTATATTGAAAATTATTTTTCTATGAATGAGTCTCCAAATTTGACTCAAGGGATAAGTAAACCAAAAGTGATTTTTTGTGTAGCCACACACACACAAACACACCCCTGAAAATATTTGGATGCAGTCAAGGTAGCATTATTCAAAAAAATAAAAAAGGGAAATAATATCTGAAACACATAAGCATTGTTTTCAGAGAGAACACTGTCTTTAGCAGTAAATCACATAAAGTATCTTTTACCAAAATGTATTCTATGAGAATTTAATGAAATGCTTTTTGATGGGGCCACCTTGTTCTATACTTAGGAGTATATAGACCTAACGGTGTGATTACCAAAGTATTTGAAATTCTGTCCATTGGGAATCACTTCATCTCACGTGGCTTCATGAGACCGGTTCTCACTCACTGTGACCACGCAGATTTCTGTTCAGTGTTACTCCCTGCCCCCCCTGTTCACACGCTCACCCATTGTCTGCCTGCTCCCCCACCCAGCAATGACCTCGTGGAATTCCATTCACATGCACACTCTGCACAGATGCTGCTACAGAAAGAGTCCATGCTTTACATTTTGACTCTTCCACTGCTTAAAGTATAGTCACTTCTGTACCACATAGGGTGTTTGCTCCCTCTCTTCGTCTCTCCCCCCTTGTTGTTACCCTCTCAATGTCATGCACCCCACCAGCAAATGTACCTGGTGAAACCTCCCATTTCTTTGCAAGCAGGCATGTGAAACCTGGCTTGGTTTACATATTAATTTTCATTTTTTTGGAATGTTGGTTTGCAACATTTAGGGGTACAAATTCACCCCTCTTCAGATGTATGTCCCCACACTGTGCTCACCACCAGAGTACCACCAGCCTCTGGGCTCCCTCCCCTTGCCGGCTGCTAACCTCAGTTCTGCAGTCGGATCCCAGGGGTTTGCTTTGGTTTGGTTGTGTCTGTCCCTTTGGTAAAGCACATGAGCTTTAATCAGAAGACAGTAGAAATGCTGGGGTGGCAGTTAGAAAGGTAGATAATTGTCTTTTAAAAAAACTTAAAGGCCAAGCACTAGCTTTTGAATTTGCATCTTGATTCTTCAAAACCGTGTTGGAATTGGGGGTCTGTACTAGACTTAGTCTTTGCTTCGTGTTTCCAAGGAGTGACTTTGGCCACTGAGGAAGTTACCAGATGCGTACCTTTTACAGGGGGCACAGGCACTCACAGTCTGCCTGCCCAGCCCTGATCGGCCCGCAGAGCCACCCATCCCCTGAGCTCTGCTTGTGTTGCTTCAGGCACATGTCTACACCTTCTCTGAGGGGGAAGCCTTGGCAGTCCGCATCTACACAAGTGCTCGGACTTCCATTACGGCCACTAACCAGGTTCCCCTCTAGCAGTTGCTCTGAGATATTTAGGAAAATACCTGTCATCTTTAATGTCCCAAATAACCCCAATAGAAAGTTGACATCACTGATCCTTAGTAAATCTTTTCCAAAAAGTTGATTTCAGTAAATGGACCTTTGGTTTCAGAAATATTCATAAAGACATTAGATGTTAATGACATCGTACATATCACTCTAAGGTTAACCGCTTCTTGGCAATGATGGGCTGTTTATGGATTCTTTAATGAGTCCACAAATTTAATTAAAAACTAATGATGTGAACTTTGCTCTTTTCTAAAATAGTATCTTTCCACTTTGTGTGGTTCTCTTAACGCTTTGAACACAAAGAGTTTCTAGTTTACAGCTAACGTTTGAAGGTCTGCATTGGGGAAGGAAAAGGAACTGGATCTTCAGTTTCCTGAAGGACATTCATGGACAATTGAGTCACGGGATGCTGTCCTTAGAAAGAGTTTTGTACATAGGCAGATTTCTAAGGTTCTTTGTGATCTGGAAGCCGGTGTCTTTAGGTAACACACAGATCACTGAATCTGCTTACTCACTTGCATTCTGCTGTGCCGTGCATGGAGTCCTTGGTCCTTAAGTAGCCCGGCCATGTACATAAGGACGCCTGAGCAATCAAGTGTTGTGTTTTGTTTCTCTCCTTGTTTCAGCGACAGTGCTCATGTAATGTTTTTCATGTAATAGGCGAGTTTGTTTTTAATTCTAATGCTATTATCATTTATTGAGACCTTGTGTAATTATGAATATAAAGCCAGAAGTATCAAAGATGACCCAGGGAAATGTGTAAGTGCTGACCTGGTCATAAAAAAGTGAATCACTTTTGTTATCTTCTCAATAGTCATGATATTGTTAAATGTAGTTGACTAGAAAGACCTGCACAACTCCCAAAGCTGACATAGACATAGTTGTTTATGGAACAGTGTCTGATTCAGAGCAAAGAGGTGAGTTATATAAAGTTGATCATCCAAAGGCATGGTATCTGACCTCAATCTAGATGCTTGTGGCTATACATTTTAATACATACCATCACTAATGTTAATTCATTATCATTAGTAATATATTATGTTGATAGCTCTCATAGATACATAGCAGGATTCCTACAGTTTGTTTATCTTTATAACAATAGTGTATTTTTTTCAAAAATAACTTTTATTCAGAACAACTTCAAAATTACAACAAAGATGCTGATTACTTTAGAACTAACATTTAAATGCTGAGTTTTCTTTTAGCTAAAATAGTCAGAAGTTTGCTTTGAACTGTTTTTGCAAAATTCACAATGACTGCTCTGAATTTTTAACTGCTGCACCATCAGATATTTGCAAAGATATAGTCATTCTCCATATACATGATATAAAAAGGACACCACCTGATGTTAAGGAACTGATGATAAATCCTTGGTGATTTTATAAACTTTTGAATTATTTTGGGAGTCTGATTTATATTTTGCCATTCTATGAGTAAGGTTTAAAAGAAAATTAAATTGAAATACCGAGTTCTTCCTTTTTTAAAAAGAAAAAAATCTTTTGAGCTGCTTGAGGTCATATTTTTTTTCCTGTGGAATTTTCCTATTATAGAAAAATGATTCTTGGTGAGTATTAGTATTTATATGGAGTAAAGTCCTTAAAAATGCTGTATCTGATTTTATTGACTGTATTGCAACCTTGATGTATAGGTACATATTTCTTTATAGCCATGAGATTAAACATACCAATACTAACCACTTAAAGAGTACTCAGTGGAAAGAGTAGTACCGTGACGTAATAATTACGGGGGGAAAAAGGATTTGGTGATCTATAAGAGGAACCATATGACATCACACATGTGTAGGTTCTTTCCCCAATCCAAAAAATAAAATTTTCAAATCACAAAATATTTTGATAGGTTTTTTAAACAAACATAAAATTATACTAGTTTATTAAAATTCTCTTTTAACCCTACCCTATGTTGAAAAGCCCTGCCAAATGCTAAGAGAAATTTAAAGAAGGATACATACATTGCATCCCTTAAGGGGCATTCACGTGGCCATTACTGTCTGTGATCTTTCCAAGGTCAAGTGGGCAGGGTAAGCCTCTACCTCAGGTGCCAAGGCTGGCTCTATTTGAACTGCATCCTGTGAAACTGATTTTCAGGACTAACTTTTCTGGGAATTTTGCATGCTCCTTCTCCCATAGGGCTAACTTTCCAATCATTGTTCTCGTGGGCATTCTACAGGTCAAGGGAAGAAGAATCTCGATTGTTTAATATTTAGCTCATTATTTTTGTCTCAATGAAACAGTAAGATTATAACAATTCATTTTACATGTGAACACTCGCCAAATATTTAGAAGGAAAGCCGATACCTATATTCAGTTTATAATACTGCTTGTGAATTTTTCTAAATGTACCTCCAACAATTATCACTAATACACTGAAATTATTTCAGAGTTGTCAGGAGTCAGATGGATAATTGCTTTATAGCGAGGGTCCAAATCAGTGTTACCTTAAGGCTGTGAACTCCAGATCTGTTTCCAAGTTGAAGTGTATGGTTGGGAATGCCTTCTGAGTTTGATCTGCTTTTCAGCATAGCACCATTGTTATTTAAAAGTGTAAGTTCATAAACAATCGCCTGGAGACTTTGTCATCTCTTATTTCAAGCCGTTTTACAAGTGATAACTTTTATGAAGCTCTCATACACACTGTGTCGTGTGCAGATGGAAAGCACATCTCACTAGAGTGACTCATTTTTAAAAATATTTCCCCTCCATGACATCTGTATAGATCAGCTTCCCAAGATTTCAGGCTCTGGAGATATTCTCACAATCAATAGTTTTCTTCTCTCTCTTAGAGTTCCCCATTATCCAGACATTCAGCAATAAATAAAGTTTGTGTTCCCAGGATTTTTTTTTAATGGGAAGTAACTTTAATACAATTAGTAAACAATACAGAAAAGACAAAGAATATAGTTTCTAAAAAAGAACCCAAAGTTACCCGTCCCCTCGTGGGTGAAAGTCCACCCGAGCAGGATTGGCCCAGAGCAAGGCCCCAAAGCCTGCCACAGTCTGAAGCATCTTCCGGGGGACCCACAGAAAAGGATCAGAAACAACCAGACAAGTCTGGGAGGAAAAGAGCAAAATCAAAATAAGATAAAAGCTGCCTTTGTTAAACCTCCCTGCAGGTCTCACCCACATCTGTTTCAACCAGTCCAGGACCAAAAAGCAAGCATAGTTTCTTCACCTTTCTCTCTGCTCCATGTGCCTCCTCCAGTTTTCCTTCTGGCTCTCCATCATGCTTGCTTCCTTCCTTCCCCAGTCTCCTCCCCAGCTTCTTGCATGTTCCCAGGATTTAACACAGCCCCAGATGCCTGCTGGAAGAGCTTACTCTGGGGCAACATTACATACAGAAACTTGTTTTTTCTCAGTTTAATGACAGTTTCTCTTTTTGCTAAAATTATTAAGAAATGTTTTCTCTTTGATTTAGTTCATGTCAAGTAATTGATATTTAGATTCCTATTCATAAACTATGTAGAATAAAAACAGCCAAGTATTTGGCTTTCCTTTCAACCAAGTATTTAATGCAGTATAACTAAATTCCACTAAAATTCTCATACATTTTCATAAATGTTAAATTGAAGTATTCTCAGAATAGTAATTGATTACTTAACAACAACTCTCACTGGTCCTATTTTGATAACAAAAATGTGAGTTCCAGCAGAAGTTCTGGGAAAAATAAGTAATAGCATAAACTAAAAGGAATGTTTTATGAAATCATCAGATTTTCTTCAAAATAATTTTTAAAAGGAAGCATTATATGTGTACCCAGTAATGCATGTACAATCTAATAAGTGGTGTTTAGATTACTTTGGCACTTACTAGATAATTACTTTTTTAAAAAGATTATGCATACAAGAGATGGGGTACAGGCCAGAGGTGTGGAGGTGAGCAGATTCACCAGAGACAGAGTGGGGAACAGAACAGGCAGATTGACTGAAGTACACTGCTGAGGGGAGCAGCAGGCAAGTCAGGAGAGGTCTGCTGTGCCATGGGGGTTTCTCTCTGGCCAGCAGGGGATCAAACTCTGCTGTAAGGCTGTGGATTGCTTCATAGTGTGGTGCTTAACCCCTTG